AGCAGGGAGTAAAAGCACCATGGATTACCAGGTTTTAACACCAAGTATACTTGAATACTGTCTGGATATAACGATGCTAGGAGTTAATATATTTTCTACACAATGCTCAAAAGGAGCAAATATATATAATAAAAAGCTGGGCCTAGTACAAAACACTGGTGTGCTCCACAGGTTACAGATGTAGAAGAATGAGAAAAGAGCGTGATTTTGAAAATTCAGTGAGAGATTTTGAGATAAAAATTTTCAAACTGCTCCTCACATAAACTCACTACATCTAACAAAAGCAAAACTGCAGACTGTCTGACCAAAGACAAACCAAACACATCCATCCCAGTGAAGGGAAATTTTATAAGATAAATGTAAAAAATATACTGCTCAAAAAAATAAAGGGAACACAACATAAGACATCCTAGATCTGAATGAATGAAATATTCTTATTAAATACTTTGTTCATTACATAGTTGAATGTCTTATTTTCCCTTGTGTTCCCTTTATTTTTTGAGCAGTGTATTTTATTGCTATTTTATTGTGGTTTTGTTTACATTTACAAATTTGACACAGTAAAACATTAGTTAGGACATTAGTAGAACATTAGCTTATCAGTATATATAGATATATAATAAAATGAAAAAATAAAGCAAAGTGAAAACAACAGTAACAGCAATAAGATAAACAGATTGTAAACTTCATTTCTTTATTATGAATGAATCATATTGATTGATTATTTTCTGTTGGTTTGTCCAACAGGGTCCTCAAGGAAAGCAAGGAGATGCCGGAGTACCCGGGAAACCAGGGCCAAAGGGTCTACAGGGCCCAACGGTGTGTACACACAACGCTCAGAGTGCAATGCAAAAAACAATCCACTTTAACCTAGAAATACATTATGAGTATAGCAAGGTGATTTCCATCTTTTGTTAAATGTTAGATATTGACTGGTTCTTATTTCTGTCCACAGAGAACAACTTGAATCAAATATGAAATGAAATCACACAATCTGAGCTGTAACCTGAACAAAACAACTTTTGGTTAGTCATCAAAACTATGGAGCACTTTACTACCTCAATTAACAACACAATCAGTGTTTTAATTAAACAGTGGTTTGAGCAACAACAAAGACAGGATCATTGGAATGGATTGGATGGATGTTGTTTCTGTCCTCCGCCAAATCAGTTTTAGCTGCTCACACACAATAAATCTTCTATTTATGTAACAATGTTCTTCTGCTTGAATTAACAAGCCAAAAGAATGTAATATCAGTACAAACACCTGACCTTTAATCATTACAGTAGTGGAATATCACAATGACAGTTACAGACAAAGTGAGAACTGGTGATTCAAGTCATAATGAAGTCGGCTGTGACATTTAGATGCTCATGTGACTTTCCCAGAACTTAATGTCATTCTGAATTTGGATTTTCAGCCATTTGTTCTAACAAATTGTGTCAGTTTGGTGTTGGTCCCCCCGAGGCCCACATGTGTGATAGGAGCATCGTTTTACTGTTAAATTTCTAGTCGTGGAAAAATGTTAACTTTTATAAAGTCTATAAGTATTATTAGGTTGTGTTGTGAGTAATGAAGTTTATATAATTTGCCTTTTCTTCAGGGGGCCAAAGGTGAGACAGGACCTGACGGTGAGAAGGTGAGTTCACCAACAAAACTGTGATGTGTTCAAGACTGGAAGTGAGGGTATTTGGAAAGACCTGGTGTTTGCAATGACAAACAAACCAACAAAATTCTTACTGCAGCATTTTAAGTACCGTACTTCAGAGTTTCATAGCCTCTGATTTAGAAGAATAAAACAAGGTAAAAACCCAGGGTAATTAAAAATACATTTGTAGTATAAACAGGTACAGGAGTTTCCCATAATTTATTACCTGGCCTTTCCTGTTTTACAACCTGTTTATTATAAGACAGCTCTTTATTTAATCCAGGAAGTCATGTAACTCGAGTAATGACTGAGCTGTTAATGAGTCCTGTGATAATGATTACAACTTCCTCTTTCTTTATGTTTGTTGGGTTTTTCTTGCAGGGTGCAGCAGGGAAGAAGGGCATTAAAGGAAATAAAGGTCAAAAGGTGATTTTACCTGTTCACGTGTTGTTGCACATTCTGTAAAGTACTCTACATGTAATTTCCTGTTTCACAGAGCTGGGATTTACTCACTCATTAGTTCCTCGTTTTTCCTACCTTTCAGGGAAGTGTAGGTGGTCATGGAGACAAAGGACAGGTAGTTACACTTTCCTTTTTACCCTGACGTCACAGAAATACACACACATCAGATGTTGCCATTAAAGAGTTTCTGAAACAAGACAGGCTCCATTTGTCATACAACTAATTAATAATACAGTGGTCAAACAAATGCTAAAAAAGCACGTCTTCACTGTGATGGCATGTATCCAGCATTTTTAAAGACCTCTGTAGTTTATAGCTATAAAAATAATAACCTCAGGGTCATGACTACTCTCTAGAATAGCTTTTTTAACAGTGAATTTTGGTCCTTAAAAGCTACATTTTAAGGTATTTGTTTAATGCTTTTGTTTGTTTGTTTGTTTGTTTCTTGCTGACTTTCAGCAAAATAACTTTATTAACCTCATTAACCTACATTGCCAAAAGAATGTGGACAGAGATGCATAAAAATAAACTTATGTAGATCATGAATAACAGAGAAGTGAAGTCTGGCTATGTTATGTACAGTATAAACGGACAGAGACACTATGTCCAGTATGAACACAGTCAGTCTTTTTACATTATTGGTTCTTCGTCCTTCCTCTCATTGCTCTTCTTCCACAGCGTGGACTGAAAGGTGCAGTTGGTCGTGATGGCGTCCCCGGCCCTGTTGGACCTCCTGGCATCCCAGGGACCAGAGGGGAGCGCGGCCCGGTCGGTGACTTGGGTGTTAAAGGCCGAGCAGGACCAAAAGGAGCCCAAGGTCCTTCTGTGAGTAACAGTGCGCAGTCTTTGTATAAGCACCAACTGCAATAACCTGACTTTAGAAAAAGAATGGGTGGCCTTCAGGGTGTTTTTATTTTATTAGTATGCCCCATGTCATCAGTGTGTTAAACCAGTTTTCAAAATCCCAGTAGTTATAGAAAAGACTTCGTAAGACTCCGTTCTGACTCCATGACTTCCGTCAAACAGTAACAGGGATGTCTGTGAATTTCTGCCAGATGCAAAGACTCCATATCAGCAAGTAAAACAAGGGAAATGTATCAGATGTTTACATCCACTTGCATATTGTTCCATATTTTTGAACCTGATTTTAAACCTCAGCAGAGGACATACTAGCATTGGTGTTTTGTAGCAGTGATGGAGGGAAGATACTCTTTGGTGACTTCTGTCCTGTAGGGTCCTGGTCTGACTGATGAGCAGGTCCTGCAGCTCTGCAGAGGCGTGGTCATGGCCCAGATCTCCCAGTACGCTGCCTCCATTCGAGCCAAGTGCTCCCAGGGCTGTCCCATCAACGACCGTGTCCTCATCGGGCCCCCGGGAGCCCAAGGGCCACTAGGATCTCCAGGCAAACCTGTGAGTCCCACTCCTGCTCATGTTTTGACAATAAATGGTTGTCATCTTGTTTGTATAGCTAATATTTACCGTACATACCAGTACCTGCAAAAATGTATGGACATGCATGTGCCTCTTGTTGTACATGGTTTCTCACAAATATCCAGTTTTTTTTTACATGGAGCAGATGCATTTAATTCTGCCTGGACTTTCATTTGGATTTTATGATTGAACACATCCACAGTGCATTTATTTCCTGTTGCAAGAAGATGCTGCAGCTCAGAAATTCATAGAAGAGAGAAGCAGAATTAAAATGAGCAAAAAAGTCTGTTTATGGCTGTTTAACATTGATAAATGGAAAATATGTACATACAGTATGTTTTAAAAAGACTGCACTTTGACTGCAGTTCAGCAAACCTGAGCAAACCAGACTCTATAAACAAATTCCTGCTTTTTAAAGAGTACTTTCTGTCCTGTATTCTTATTGATTTGCCCAGATTTAATAGCATTTAATTACCTTGCACTATATCTCAGAGCAGAAATACAAGAATCCTGATGTTATTGTTATGATAGCAATTTGCTATTATATCTTAAGTTACACTGTGATTACGTGCTGTACTTGATCTCAGCCTGAATTCAGGAGTAATTCGACACTATTTCTGCCTCCACCTGTCAGGGTAAGACAGGAAGAGCTGGAGTGAAAGGAAGCAGAGGTGTTCAAGGTGACAGAGGACTGGAGGGTCAGGAGGGAGTGCAGGGTGACAGAGGTAAGATCAGCTTCTCATACTCATATGTGAATATGTTATTAAGTCTCCAATTATACAGTCTTATGCAAAAGTTTAGGCACCCCTTGATAAATAACAGATTTTGGTGATTTTTTATTTGAACAGATGTTAACTCAGTTTCTCTTGGAAATGGAAAAAATGCACAATATTTTCAGCAAACAGTGATGCATAGTTACTTCTTATGCCATAAATTGAACAAAAATAAAAAATAAAAACATTATTATGGCATGGTGCAAAAGTTTGGGCACTCTAAGAGTTCCAGAGTCTCAAAGTCTCTCACAAGGTATCAGACCTTAATCAGCTCGTTAGATCTGATGCACAGCAACAGCTGTCATTGGTAAATGCCAATTTCAAAGCTGTACAAATACTTTGACTCTTCAAACCTTGTGCACACACTTGCGGACACCCAGCAACCATGGGTTCCTCTAAGCAGCTGTGTAAGACCCTGAAAATGAAAGTTATTGATGCCCACAATGCAGGAGAAGGCTACAAGAAGATAGCAAAGCGTTGTCAGCTTGCAGTTTCCACAGTAAGAAATGTAATTAAGAGATGGCAGATCAGGGGAACTGGGGAGGTCAAGATGAGATCTGGAAGACCAAGAAAACTCTCGGACAGAACTGCTCATATGCTGGTCAGAAAGACAAATCAAAACCCCCATTTGACTGCAAAAAACCTGCAGGAAGATTTAGCAGACTCAGGAGTGGTGGTGCACCGTTCCACTGTGCAGCGATGCTTGCACAGACAAGGCCTTCATGGAAGAGTCAGCAGAAGAAAACCTTATCTGCGTCCCCATCATAAAATCCAACGTCTGAAGTATGCAACAGGACATCTACAGAAGCCCGATGCGTTTTGGAAACAAGTGCTGTGGACTGATGAAGTTAAAATAGAACTCTTTGGACACAATCAGCAAAGGCATGTTTGGAGAAAAAAAGGAGCAGCATTTCATGAAAAGAACACCTTGCCAACTATTAAGCATGGGGGTGGATCTATCATGCTCTGGGGTTGTGTTCCAGCCAGTGGCACTGAAGAGTCAAAGTATTTGTACAGCTTTGAAATTGGCATTTACCAATGACAGCTGTTGCTGTGCATCAGATCTAACGAGCTGATTAAGGTCTGATACCTTGTGAGAGACTTTGAGACTCTGGAACTCTTAGGGTGCCCAAACTTTTGCACCATGCCATAATAATGTTTTTATTTTTTATTTTTGTTCAATTTATGGCATAAGAAGTAACTATGCATCACTGTTTGCTGAAAATATTGTGCATTTTTTCCATTTCCAAGAGAAACTGTGTTAACATCTGTTCAAATAAAAAATCACCAAAATCTGTTATTTATCAAGGGGTGCCTAAACTTTTGCATAAGACTGTATGTGTAACATTTCTTACAAATCCAGCGAAATCATTCCGTCTGGATACTAGATCAGCTTCTTAAATGACTTAACTAATTTCTTATGTTAACATCATTTTTCCACTTGGATTGCTCAGATTTATTACAGCTCGTCTGTCAGCTTGTCCAGTTTGTTCTCTTCTGTGATTGACATACATGAATGTACTAGAAAGTTTTTGGCTGATGCATCTTATGGTAAAGGTTAATCGCTACACTCAACAGACCACAGAGAGAGCAGAGTAAGTAATTTAAGAACATGATTTATTCAATCATGTGCAATGATCAATGTCAAGGAACAAATAAACAATTTAAGAATATGAAATACTAAACCGAGGGAACATAATTCAATAATGATAATTAAACATAAATGAGTAATCTAAGCACATTATTTGTTAGTTGTGAGGCCAACTATGTAGAGTGACTTAAAAAAAAAAATCCCATGCTTGAAGGGAGTTTTGTGGTTTAGCCCTCAGTGAGTCACAGCGTTTCTAAGAAGCTGTTTGCATTTTTCTTAACAGGGCAAAAAGGATCTAAAGGCTTCGCAGGTGATCCGGGTAGAGGCCTGCCGGGACCTGATGGACCACAAGGCCTCAGAGGTATGGCACTGTTGATCGCCACACAGTCATTCATATCTCGTTAACGTCACATTATCTGGGTGCCGGGAACAACGGTAGCACAATTGGGGCCCCCTTTATTGGATGGTTAGAAGTGTCTTATTCTTTTAATTCATAAACAATAAAGTCAGTCTGTAAAATAAAACTTTATTATTCCTACAGAATTAATATTTTACAGTACTGTAGTTAGCTGGTAGGTCAAGCAAATATTTTGAAAGTTTGGCATTTTCATACTTTTTGCCTTCAGACTTGAATTTTGTAATCCTGTTTTTACATAATTAAATATAGCCTACAAATTTCACAGTATCATATCTTGAATTTTGCCTTTTTGTGGAAAATACCTAATAATAACTTATATCCATTTTGGTTATAAAATTTACTTTTAAATGAAATCAGATATCTCTAAATTCGGTTTTCTTCACCTTGTACGTCAAACTGTTTTCTCGTGGCTAAGGGACCAAACCTTTTCTACATTTTATACCTTCCTCTCCCCAGGTTTCCCAGGTGACCCAGCAGAACCCAAAAAGGGCATGGAGGGTCCCCACGGTCCCCGTGGCTTTCCTGGTGCTGTGGGTCCACCCGGTATGGTTGGAATCACAGGTGTGCCAGGATTTTGCGAGGCGCGGGACTGTAGCATTTATGCACCCGTGATACGCAAAGAGCAGGGTCTGGTGAAAGGACCCATCAGTTAAAAAAATCTGAACTCGAATGACGAGGACCGATGTGAGGATGGCAGTTTCAAGGGTTTAAATGGGGCAGAAATTTGTTCGATTTATGACATTAGTTTGTTTAAAACGTGTAACATGTTCTGTCCTTAACTGACTGTTGCTGAAAACATCAGTGGACCAAGTACATTACCAGGGGGTGCTCTGTTTCTTAGCCTGTTTGGTAAGAAAGGGTAAACATGCAGGATCAAAGCCGACAAAGACTTTTCCATCTGAGCTGGAAAAAAGCTTTGAATGAGCTTTTGACATTTTAAAGGTTTCATGCTCCATTTAAATCCAAAGTCTGTTTCAATTTTTTAAAACAGAACAGTTTAGTCTTATGTTAATTTGATAAAAACACTAAATAATTCCCCACTGAATCCTTTATTTGGTTTAGTTTTTCTGTTCTCTGGTTCATCAGAAATCACTACAAAAATAAACAAAAATATAAATAACACAGTGTAAATATTTTGTAAAGTATCTACATGTACTGTATTCTGAAATGTTTCAGATAAACTGTCTGATGTTTTTTAACCAGAGTCCTCCATTTGTCAGTTGCTATATTTTGGTTGTGCTTTTAATTCTAATAATTATTATTCAGTTCAATTCAATTTTATTTGTATAGTGCCAATTCATGGCGACAATCATCTCAAGGTACTTTATGTAATAAGGTCTAAACCTTACAGTAGCATAGAGAAAATCCAACAAAGCAAGCACATTATGAAAGGTACTATATCAGAAGAGATCCATCTCAGAAACAGCCTCTGACCATACATCTGAATATTTACCCACATATCAGATGTTTTCAGCAATTCAAACAATAATGAATGAAACTAAATGACAGTTTGATCCAAATGTCAAGTTATCAAAGAAAAACAACAACCTGATTGTTGTTTTTATGTGTTTCAAGAAGTCATTACCATAAGATGGCATTATGTTTCATATTCAGAATTTAAAACATTTACAGTAAAAGAAGCAGGTCCACTTTCACTGAAGCCTACTGAATATCTGAGTGTTGTGTGAACACAATTCAAGTGGAACACATGGTAGAACCCTCATACCCAAGGTGCAGGTTCTCTATATGGGGTAGATGATCTGATGGAGTGTCTTTCTGCACAAATGTACATATTAATGAGGGAACACTGATTTTCCAGAAATGGCTGTACTGCTTCACCCCTCAAGATAAAAACTTTAAATTGATCCCACATATGTAGCATGAAAAAACAAATGTAATGGTGTAAACATTTTGTTATGTCTTGTTACATATGTTTGCATATTAATAAGGAAAATCTCATTTTTTCACACTTCTACTAGCGTTCTTCATGTCAAACTAAAAGTACTGTGAGCCTGTTTTTTTAGTGGAGATTATGGCAGGACATAAACAATCCGAGTGCCTCATGTTATAGTCTTAAATTTGACATGTGTTAGTAGCAAATGTTATGCATAACAACCTTAAAATTTCTGAGGTGTATTTTACTAAAGAATTCAAAACAGAAGAATTTAGAGTCAGTTTTGTGCCACAAGAAACTGCAGAAACACTCAAGGAGTGTACAAACTGACACATGGCACTATGTGCTTCCTTCCAGTGTGGTAAAGACGTTTGTCTACGCATAGATTAAAATTCTATTTACACCACAAAGAAAAAAACATTTGGATATTAGTGGATACATATGTAGTTTATCCTTAAGATTACATGTAGTGTTCAGAAAAAAAAAATCAAATTTTTAGTCAAATTCATCACCAGACAGTGAATCTGACTCTCCATAATTTTCAGAAAGAATGAGACAGTTTCAGAGAAGCATTAACAACAGAGGTTTATTGCTGTGTGTTTACAGATATATGAGAGAGCAGCAACACAACAAGACAGATTGCACATTGGTTTTGATCTCTACTAAGTCATGATTGCAAATACATGATTTGCAGATTATAAATATAATACAGTATACTGCATGTTACACAGCAGCCAAAATATACAGCACATTGCAGAAAAGTGGCTGATATTTCCTGAGAACATTTTTGGAATTTGAGAACTCACTATTTTGGCAAAGTTTTATATTAATGAGGCTTTAAAAATCGCTACAAGGAAGTAAACATGATCTACAAAACAAAACAATGAAAGCACCACTGTTGTTCTGGTAGTTTGCAGAGTAGTACCCTGGATAACTTCCTACATGGCTCAGTTTCAGAAAATGCCCTCTAATATTTTTCTTTGTAATGATTTTTGCCAAATTTGTCTTAATCATTTTGAAAAGGTCAGACGATATCAAGAAGCAGGAAAAAGCATCATTAAAGCTTATTCTTAAAAAAGGCTCAGTTTTTGATACAACTTGATGGAGATTTAATAAAGACTATGATTCAATGAAAACTAAACTTGTTAATAATTTCAGATATTTTTGATTATCATCAGTTGAGAATGCAGAATTCTCAATAATTTAAGGGCTCAGTTCAATGGCCTAATATTTTTATTATTTTAATTAGTCAAATATGACTTTAAAAAATGTGCATTTTCTTTTCTCACGACATTTGTTCTGAGCATCCATCAGTATCAAATTAATGTTATAGGCATCTTTCGTTTTGTTTGCTGAACAGTCTGATTTAAAGTGCAGAAGATAAAAGTGTGAGACTGTCTCACAAACAGTAGAAAAGCTAGTGTTTCAAAAGTTTGTAATGTTAGCTTATGTTCATTCATTCATTCATTTTCTACCGTTTAGTCCCTTGCGGGGTCACGGGGGGGCCGGAGCCAATCCCGGCCGGCAATCGGGGGAAGGGGGGGCGGGGTACACCCTGGACAGGTCGCCAATCGGTCGCCAATCCATCACAGGATAGCTTATGTTATGTTAGCTTAATTTATTGTTTAAATTATATAAAGTTCATTAAAAATCTATATACATGCACATTCATTCATTATTGCTCATTTTACAACTGTTACCTGCTAAGAACAGCAAAATAACTTTTGGTGTTGACCTGATGATGAACCCTGAGGACTACAGAACAAGTGCTTTCCATTCTGTTAATTTTGCTCCATCCTTCAGCTCGTGAATAGGAAATTAATCGAGGTCTGGTATCATGGATGTTTCAGTCCTGTGGAAGGTTTTTTGATGGATGGCAACAGAAACTGTACAGCTGCTGGGGAAACTGTAATATTAATGCTACTGACTAATTACAAAAGCTTAGATTTGCCAGATGTGAGTTTAATCTGACTTGTAAACTCATCATAAAACACCTCTCTACTTTTTCTTCATCCCTTTCCTTTCCTTTTTATAAAAATCTTTCACTAAAGTGCATCTTTTTTGTTTGGAAATGATACACAGCTATACAGTCCTATACAGTCATGGTTATTATTCGTTCTCTAATATCAGCCAGAAAAGAAAGAAATTATACATTTATTAGGGCATTTTAAACTGATTTTATTGCCCCCTTTTCTCTGCTCTGTTTTCTTTTTAAATAGAGACACACTGTAATATGCATAATATGTTATTAATGTTACTTTGATCAGCCCTGACATTGTGATAGATTTATGATCACCAGCTGCCATCAGGTGTTTCTTGTTAAAATAATTACCCATTATGGGAGAGCTGAGATGCCGTGCATCACGAGGCACCGGTCTGCTCAAACTGATGCTGGATAAAAATCTTCCAACCTCACATCCCCCAGTGGGAGGAGATACAGTAAGATGCAAAGGAGGGAAGCAAGGAGCAACATTAACTCCATGCAAAGCACCATATGTCTGTAGGATATCAGAGCCAAACTATACACTCAAAATAGCAAAGAATGTAGAATAGATCTGCCAATTTTTTCTCAATTACTCCTTTGGGCTATCAACATTCAGGTAATCGTTTTGAAAACCGGAAATGATGACCTGACGTTTGTTTTGTCATACTAACTTAACAATAGCCAGTTTATTATAATAGAAAATAGAAAAAGCAGCAAATATTCACATTTAAGAAGCTGGTACCAGAGGGTGGTACTTTATTTTAAAAAATGGTCAAATTACTAATTCATTATGAATTATCTGTTATTGCTGTCTAATTAAGAGAGGGGGGTTTAACACTGATTAGAGGCTCAGGTAAAGTCAGTTATGTTCAAACTGGTCCAAAACACTTAGAGGTATGCTCTATTGCTTTGAAGAGCATTGTCAAAGGACTAACAATAATACTATAGCTGACTTCATAATACTATGTTACTGCTGATCATACTGTGTGCAACTGAGCCATCAGAGATGCTCTTTCCTGCTCCAACACTCGTCGACCTTCCTTCCCTCTGCCTTTAAATACTAGTTAAAGTTGTCTTAAAGAGCCCTGACTCACATGTGCAGTGAGCGGCACATTTTCAGTGCAAAAATTAAGTTGTCAGTGCTTCCTTCATTGCACCAAAACAAACTGTTTTCCTCATAGCAGTCACGTTGGAGCCATGAACTGTATGGAATGTTATGCATTTACTGACTGGAATTATGTGATTAATTTTGGCTTATTTAGTTTGCTAGCTAGTTACAGTAAAATGATATTGACTTGTAAACTTCAATTTAACAAAATGGCTTGTGCGAAACAGAAGTTGTTGATTTCAGCTGCACGTAAACAGTTCCCTTCTTTTTACAGGTGCCTTCTGTCTCTGAGTTTAAATCAAAAATAGTTAAGATACCAAAACTGTACTACTCACAAAATTCACTTCAGCAACTAATAAAAAAATTCCAGTTAAAGAATTGCTAACACCTAGTTGAAGTACTAAAAGTGAGACAAATTATCTCCAAAATATTTCTTCATTTTCAAAAATAATAATTATTATTATTTCTGGGCTTAAAACCTTTTTTAAAAATCTGGACTTATTGAGTTGTGAAAAAAGGGAAGTAGAAGGTTCAAGAAGTAGTTTTCCCCATTTCGAATCCTCATTTTGTCTTTAAAAATATCCTCAATGGCCCTCAGCATGGAAACCGAGCACTCTCCCAGTTAATAAATGTTATGATTACCTGTTATTATTATTTCAACTTTGTTTGTGAAAAACTGTAGTTGGTTTGTCAGTTTGACTACTCTAAACACTACAATGCCCATGAGCCTCTGCTTCCATTGCTATAAGAGGAGTGAATCTAAACTATAACGAATTCAAAAGTTTTGTTGTTGGATTTTTTTTTTAACGGAACATGCAGGCACAGCTGCTGAATTCATCCAAAACTGACCCCGAATCTGAAAGTACAGTAATTTAAGCTGGAGGTTGCGCAGTCAGTTTTCTCTGCGGTGTAGTCTTTAGCTTTCACAAATCAAATTAAGCTTGGTGTTTAGTTGTTTCTTTTCCAAATTCACCTTGGGAACTGTTTATTAAAAAAATTGATACTTTTTAGAAAATGTGTTCATCCCATTTGCTGATGATTTAACATGGAGAGTTTCATGCTCCAACTATCACCTGATCTTTGTAGAGCAGCTTTGCTCTGTGAACTCTCTAGGCTGTATTTACTAAGTACTGTGGCATGATACAGTACTGATTCAAGTATTTAGTGTGTATTTAAATCAGGACATTATTGGTATTTTAAGTAGCAGCACTGGTAGAGAACTAAACTAAAGACTGCTTACAAACATTCATTATCCATATGTAAACAGAAACTGCAGTGTAAAATATTCTGATTGTGATGTAGTGGCAACCAGATAAGATATTAATTTAATTAAAATATTAATTTGTCAGTACCTCACATAAACTATCTTTCGAAAGTGGGACACTAAAGGGATCTAGCCAGTTATACCTCATATTGTGACTGTCCTGATTTGAAATAAAGTTTCTTAGTAAGTACAGCTCTGAGAGAAACACAAGTGCAATAATGTTAAGAGAACTGAAATGGGGGGAAACAGTTGCAGCCTTTGCTACCATGTGTGCCATGCCCTTTGCACACTGTAGGGCTTTGAAATGCACAGGATGAAACGTACACAGTGCAGAATTTCTCAGGGTAATGCAATCATTTCTGTTATTTTCTTTTTACTAACGATTAGTAAGAGACTAAACCTGATGTGCATGAAGCCTATTGCAATTTCTATAAGCAATATGATAAATACTAACTTTATACTTAGTATAATATAAAAGTATAAATAAATAAAAAAAACAGTCTGCAAGGCACTGCTTAGCGAGACACCTATGCTTAAAAAAAGCAAATTATAAAAATTTCTGAATAAAGTGCAGAGTATAAAAAGCAAAAGCACAGAGAGCTACCCTATAGGAAACCCGTACCATAAATAGCAGCTTGAAATGTAGACAGCAATCAGTCTCACAGTTTGACAGGCTTTGAACCCGAAGACATAGCCGATCGCCTCTCACTTCATCAACAATCCAGCGATCACACTCAGCACCAACAAACCAACAGATCCTGCAGTGAGAAGAAAAATAAAAAAGGTCAGAATTTCTCACCCATTACCCAGATAATTTCAGGCTTGGCTGCTCAGACAGGCATCCATAGCTCAGTCTCATTATCCATCCGTTATCTATACTGCTTATTCCTGAATAGGGTCATGGGGGGGCTGGAGCTAATCCCAGCTGACACTGGACGAGAGGCGGGGTCCACCCTGGACAGGTCACCAGTCTATCACAGGGCTGAAACTTAGAGACAGAGAACCACACACTCACTCCTACAGAGGGTTTAGAGTCACCAGTCAATCTAAGCTGCATGTCTTTGGACTGTGGGAGAAAGCTGGGGCACCTTGAGAGAACCCACACAGGCACAGGGAGAACATGTAGACTCCACATAGACTCTGGGCTTGAACCCAGAACCTTTTTGTGAGGTGACAGAGCTAATCACTGCCTCACCATGCCACCCTGTCTTACTTACCCTCTAGACTGAAAAGACATGAGGAAGACGAGATTTAATCTTATGGAGACTGACCAACAACAAAGAACACAGCGATACATGTGAAGTTCTTCACAGCTCAGTGGTCCTGCTCAAACTGTAGGACAAC